ATATTGTACTCTTTACTGTACTACATCTCAGAGGTACATATTGTACTTTTTACTGTACTACATCTCAGAGGTATATATTGTACTCTTTACTGTACTACATCAGAGGTTCTACTTTACTGTGTCTTTGAAGGCAGCATTAGCTCACTAGTTAGCTTCATGCTAACTAGGTGAAAGTTCACCCTCATTATCAGCCATGTAACTGTGAGAAACATGTTTAACGTTAACATTTAGCTTCTCTTTTCTTTTGACAGTAACCAAAGCTGGCCAACATTAATGTGTTTAGTGTTTAATTATGCATATTTATATTGATATACTAGTGTATGTACTGGTTACATAGCAAGCTAAGCTAACTAGGTTTGATAACACTCTGGTATTTCCGGTATCTATCCACACGAAGCAAACATATGCTAGCCTAGCTAAGGCTAGCATTGTCTTTGATGTATGAGTACTGGCTCTTGTTATAATGACTTGTCTCCTCGTGTACTCACCTCTCCTAGCTCCTAACAGTGCAGCCATGGCTCCTCTTCTTATTGTCGGCTTCACTGTTATGAAGCACACCGCTGCGTTCTTCTTCTTCTTCCGGTTTTACGGCGGTTGGGATCCTTCTTTATTGGTGCATTACCGCCACCTTCTGCTCCGGAGTGTGGATCAGACACTAGATTTAGTAGATTTACAATCTTTACCCCAAAATCAAATCAAATAAATGATAATAATAAGAAAATAAAAATAACTAACAAGCAAAGAAAGAAACAAAAAAAAAGAAAAGAAAAAAGCACTCTGACCATCACCCCTGTGCCGTATCCCTGCATTTCAATCACACATCAGATCATGAAAACACAAATCTTTCTACTAAATGCAGAAAGTTGTTTGTGGTCCTTTTGTTGTTCAGTCTACAATGAACATTTATTTAAACCAGATGTTGAATCAGAAAACGAATCAAATATAAAGCTTGAGTTTAATCTGTGATCCGTCTTCACTGTTTACATGTTAAACAAAATCTCATCAGTCTGATCGGCTGCAGCGTCCAATCACATGACTGATGAACAATGAGGGGGCGTGTCGGCCGTTAAAAGACTTCCTGAAGTCTGTTCTCTTGGGTCCTCGCTCATGGCTCCTCAGAGATCCCTCCTCCCTCCTCGATCCTCGCTCCTCAGAGCAGGAATAAGAGCTTTGGGACGGCCGTCAATATGGCGGCGCAGAACACCATAGCGAGGATCGAGGAGCGAGGAAATGATGCTCGCTTGAAGAGGTTCTTGTACTTACGGAGGATGTATAGTGGACATTTAGGAGGTTCTAGTGGGCCTTAAAGAGGCTCAAGTGGTCATTGAGGTGGTTTCAGGGGTTCCTAAAGAGGTTCTAGTGATCATTGGGGAAGTTCTGCCCCCTAAAGATGTACTAGTGGTCATTGAAGAGGTTCTAGTGCTCATTGAGGAGATTTAGTGGTCCTCAAAGAGGTTCTAGTGGACATTGAAGATGTTCTAGTGGTCTTTTAAGAGGTTCTATTGGTTTCTAAGGAGGCTCTTTAACTGATTCTTATGGTCAGTGAAGAGATTCTAGGGGTCCTTAAAGAGGTTCTAGTAGTCATTGAGGTGGTTTAAGGGGTCCTTAAAGAGGTTCTAGTGGTTATCGAGGTGGTTTCAGTGGTCCTTAAAGAGGTTCTAGTGGTCTGGCTATTTATTTATGTATTTTATCTTCTATATATATAATTCTGCTGACTGCATATCCCGATGCATAATGTTTGTTTGGGTCATTTCATTATCTGGCACTATATACGTGATATTGCTGTATCTTTAACTAAAACAACTGGGCCATACATGATATCCCATATTTACTGAGTGAGTCTGTAATTCTACTGACCACATCCCGTATGATGTTTGTGTATTATTGGTAACCCTACACAATAAATACAGAAAATGTAAAAAAATAGCTGCAACAGCAACATAAAACTGAAAGTAATGAAAAACTTGAACTTTCAGGTCACAACAAAGCAGCTACACACCATCAATCCTGCAGGAACATCATCCAAACACTGTCAGAAAGAATAAAGGTGATCTAGCCACAGGGAGGTTTCAGGTGTTTCACAACATGTTTATTTTTTTAGCACCATAAAAAGTCAGTCAATGTTTGTCCCGTGTATATATATATATTTGCTCTCAATCTGTCTTTCCTCTGGGATGGAGCAGCGGTGGTGGATGATTTAGGAAAGGAGGCGTTTTTTTTTTTTGAGAAATAAAAAGCTGAGAGGGCTGCGTGGCGTCCACGGAGCCGGACAGGGTTCCAGCGGGCGCCATTCACTTGCTGGCGGAGGTGAAGGTGAAGCATCCTCTCTGGTGGAACTGCATGTCCCTGATGCGACGCATGGACTGGATCTGAGGCTGGAAGGCACTGAAGTCGTTGTAGTGTCTGTAGTCACCGCACTCAAACAGGTACTGGTAGCCTCTGTATCCGGGGTACTGGTAACCCACCCACCTGAGGGAGACACGGAGAACGTTAGGTGTCACTTTAATCTCCTCATGTGGAACAGTCTGGCCTTTTCTGTTTGCTTTATTGATCTGTGGTAAGTTATTATCAGTTGGTATTCCTTTAAATGATCCCATGACTAGTCTATTCCTCTCTCTCTGTAGGATTAGACTAGACTAGAGGTCCTTTAAGGGGTTCTAGTGGTTAGTGATAACATTCTAGGATTCATCAAAGAGGGTTCTAGTGGTCAATGAGGAGGTTCTATGTGTCTCTAAATTGGTTCTAGCGGTCATTGATGATATTCTAGGAGTCTGTAAAGAGGTTCTAGTGGTCAATGAGAACATTCTAGGAGTCTGTAAAGAGGTTCTAGTGGTCAATGAAGAAGTTCTATGAGATTTTATGAGGTTAGTGATCATTGATAACATTCTAGGAGTCTATAAAGAGGTTCTAGTGGTCAATGAGAACATTCTAGGATTCATCAAAGAGGTTCTAGTGGTCATTGAGGAGGTTCTATGGGTCTCTAAATTGGTTGTAGTGGTCATTGATGATGTTCTAGCTGATATTCTCCAAAACATTGTTGTAGTCATAGTTGAGGGGGTTCTAGGGGTCTTTTAAGGAGGTTGAAGTTGTAATTGATGTGATTTTTAGGGGTCCCTAAAGAGGTTCATGTGGTCCTTCAGAGGATTGATAAACCCCAGGGATTTGTCAATTGAGGAGATTCTAGAGGCCATTGATTAGATTTGAGAGGTCCATCAAGACGGTTTAGTAGTCCTTTAGGAGGCCATAGAGGTCTAGAAGTCCTTTTAGAGGTTATGTTGTAATTGGGGAGGTTCTAATGGTCCTTTAGGAGGTTCTAGTGGTTAATTAGGAGGTTCTGATTGTCATTGATAAGGTTCCAGTGGCCAATGAGGAGGTTCTATGAGTGTTTAAGAGGTTCTAGTGATCATTGATGATGTCATAGTGGACCTTTAGGACCTTTTAGAGATCCTCTAGGGGGCTGAATCCCACCATCATTATTCAAACACAGAAGGAGGGAACATCTTTTTGAAATAATAACGTTCATCCCTCCATCAGCGTTCCACACATTTATAGATTCAATAACAGGGAACTCCGAAGCTGTTTCTGGAGGGCTGTGGTGGAACAGCTGTGTACTTCACTGTGAGACTCTGGAGGTCATAAAAAATGTCTAAAAATACACATTTGTCGACAAATAAAAACACCCGGCAGTCAGCTTTAAGCCTTGTGATGACTCTACTTCTCATGAACAACGACAGTGGAACTCTGGAGGCCTGCAGCTGCAGTACAGAGCCTCCACTTTAGATACATATATATACATAGATTTATGTATATATATGTATATATATATATATATGTATGCTCTAATGAATTGATGGTGCTGGTGTCTACTCACGCTCCTCCTGGGACCCTCACGCTGCCCACTCTGTCACAGAAGCCATGCGCCCAGAGGGTGGGCACGTCATCCTCCTGGATCTCCATCTTGTTGCCCTTGAAGTCGGAGAGCTCGTACAGGCAGATCTTGTGCTCCATGCTGTCCTGCAGGGAGGAGATTAAGTGTTAGCTTTTATTGTTACACGTGTTCATGTAAATGAGTTATATTTTTATAATCTAAAGGGGGGCAGTGTTGGTCTGGTGGTGCCACAAAAGCTGAGTTTAAAATGTGCTAAAAAAGAATCTAAGAAAAGCAAACTTCTCTCTCGATGCGATTATTAGTCCATGGACAGAAAACCTCTCAGGATCTAATTTCTTACCATGCGGACGGGCCTGAGGGACATGAGGCAGTCGCTGCGGTAGGAGTTGCTCCAGGTGTCCCAGCGAGGATACTCTCCCTTCTCCAGGATGAACATCTCCCCACGGAAGTTAGTCTGCTCAAAGGCAACGAAGCTGGAGAAGGGGGTCCGCCGGGCGGGGGGGGGGGGGCACAGAGGGGTTGGAGAGGACAGGAGAGAAGAATTAGAGGACAGACGATGGTGAAAATGTTGTGATTGTAATCACAGAGTGTGTGTCCACTTACGGGCCGCACTCCACAATGATACTACGCACTCTATCCATGCCACGGTCACACACGTTCATACACTCATTCTGGACCTCGATCATCCGGCCCTGGAAGTTCTCCTGGTCGAACATCATGATCTGCACAGAAGAGGTTTCACACGTTACACCGGTATCATGAAAACATGTCCCAGCAGAGTATACTTCAATGACAAGCTAAATGCTAAATGCTAAATGGATAGACTTTCTAAAATTCTTTCCAAGCACAAACTCAACTTCCTCAACCCTAAATTGGAAGAATAATCGGTGGGAAGTGTATTTACAAAAGTATTCTCCTTTTCTACTCTGTACTTCTACTCCACCACATTTCAGATGGAAATATTCTACTTTCATTACTCCACTGGTTTTATTTAACAGCTGTAGCTTCTTAAACAAGAGATCAAATATTCCGGTTGTGTTCTAGTTGCGTCATGTAATGGTACATAAACAGTATATATAAAGAGTATATAAAGTAGTGTAATGTTAGCTCCAGCTAAACAGCATTAAAATGATGCATGTATGTCAAAGCAGCAATAATACAATCTGCAATATTATAACACTCCTCAATTATCTTTTCTGCATAATGAGTCATTTTACTTTTAGTATTTTTGCACATGTGGTATTGCTACTGCACTTTTACTACTACTACTACTAAGTAAATAATGTGAAAACTTCTTCTTCTACTGTCTGTTGAATCCACTTCATTAGTTCATTTAAATAAAATGAAACTAATCCAAACTATATGAAGCAATAACCTGAAAGTCAAGCTGCCTTTAAAGGGTCTGCTCACTCAGATTAAATATTAGTCATGTATAGCTTTAAAAAAACGGCAACGAATCTCTACAGAAACAAAGTTCTGATCGACTTTAAAAACAGAGCAAATAAAACCAAAAACGATCTGCCGTGTGTCTGGATGGGACGAACTGTCCCTTTAAATAAAACCAGCAGTGACACTCACTCTGTAGGATCCCATGCCGGGCTCTCCGGTCTTGGTGGCCTTGCTGGTGGCGGCTGGAGCGGGGGCTCCCTTGTCCTTGGCGTCGGTGCCCTGGCTGGAGGCGGACTTGGCGGTCTGAGACATGGCGAGAGGGGCTTCAGGAGAGTCTGGGTGAGAGAGATTGGGGGGATGAAACAGAAATAGAAGGTGTCAACACAAGTGACAAGGAGACAGTGGAGGTGTTGACGTGGTCAGAGGGCTGGTGTGTTTATGGGATGAGGATTAAAACACAAATCTGCTGTTTTTTATGTGGGGGGTCATGGGTGGACAGGGGGGCCCTGGACTTCTGGTTCTGGTGTCTGCGGTCCGTGTGTCCTTACCTGCGTTAGTAAAGCTTGCAGTGCCGTGTGGGAGGCTGGCTCGTGCTGGTGCCTTTTAACGCTCGACCCAAGCTTTTATACTCTGGCAAAGGCCAAACGTGGAGGCTCACGACACAAAAGAAAAAGCCCCTCGTCATCACAGTCGGCCCGTGCCAAAGCCAGCCGGGTCATCGCATCGCCTGGAAAACGCTGCCCGGCCCCCTCTGGCCAATGCCGTAAGCGTTTTGCTGTCAAAGGAAACCACTGACCGATGCATTCCCCCCCCCCACGCCCATCATCATGTGTTGGGTTGGTAGGCCATGTAGAGAGGAGGAATGCAAAAGGTTCAGAGGGCACAAAGAGGTAATCCCTTCTCTCTCTATCACCTACAGGGAAAGCACATGACATATCTCTGGAAACAAAGATATTAAAATCAGCCGTCCATCTGAAACAGAAAGCTTATTGGTGTTTAGGAACCACAGCGAGAAAATAAAGCAAATAAATGGCAATAAACACACCTGGTTATCATTTCTACAACAGTTAAATTGTGTCTTGTTGTGTTAAATGGATCATTTAAAAGAATACACAAGAAAAGTGTGATTTAGTTTTAGCTGCTCGACAGCTAATTAACCTAAAAGGTCGGGCTGAAAAATTGATTGACATTTAGACGTTTCTCTAAAGGGTGAGAGGAGAAGATTTATATCAATCTCATGTCTGTGTGTTGGCTGTAGAGCTGGAGTCAGGAGGCGGTTAGCCTAGCTTAGCATAAAAACTGGAAGCAGGAAGGAAACAGCTACCTAGCGACGAGCCTGATCACACCTGAAAACAGGTCAGTTAAGGGCTAGTTGGTAAACCAATGTAGCTGAGGATAGCTAACTGCTAGCATGCTAGGCAACCGGGAACATGCGACATCTCTCTGAAGTGCTTTCTGTTTCTGCTTTTACAGGATTGAACATGAAACAATTCAATAAAGAGTTGATGACGGGAGAAAAAAAGCTTTCGGTCGCTAACGAGTCAAAAGTCTAAACTATTCCTTTACAACAAGCTAACGTAATGTTTAAATGCTATATTGTAGTGTAACTGTAGCACAACTAGAGCCATACAGTCCAAAAACAGTAATATCTATGTAATGTCTTAGCTAATGTTAGCCACCATACGCTAATGTTCACACCAGACTAAGTAAGACTGTAGCAGCAAAACTGTATTGAACTAAACAGTTTTATTATTTATGAACTCAACTTTTCATTTGAAAGATTTCCAAAATTTTAAAGTAGACTTTAAATCTACATCCATAAATATATATTGTTGCACTGTTTGAATTTTAAGCAATAAAACGCATTCAAACTGGAGGTGACTGGGTTCCAGTTCAACAGCTCCAGCTAGCTTAGCCACTATTAGCATTACCAGTTGACAACAACACATTATTTTGTGCATATAAACAGTGTAGCAACATGTTAACAGATGAGAGTTGGACAGTATTGTATTGTACTGATTTAATAAAGACACAAGTAAGACAGAATGAACTATGCTTATGAACAGCATAGTACTACAGTTCTTTTACTGGGCAGCCATCTTGGATTTTGGGGTCGTGATTCGTGGTGTTCTTCAGAATTTCAGAGTCTGAAATCCGACTTCCAGATGAAATTTCCGACCGGGAACTCAGAAATTCCGACTTTAAATGGAATGCAGCGTAACAGCCAGAGTCTCGCAGTCTACAAACACATTAACATCTATGTAATGTTTGATAGCATTAGCTAACGTTAGCCACCATAAGCTAATGATCACACCAGACCATTAGAAGACTGTAGAAGCAAACGTTTTATTGCAAAAGAACTGAATTTATCATTTGTAAGAGGAAGTTTTTTCTTTCAATCTACATCCATGAATATATATTGATACACTGTTTGAATTTAATAAGTATAAACCATCATAATTCCATAATTAAAGCACCACTGCAAACGAGGATTGTTGGTGTTCAGAGGTGAAATAAAGGTTGTGGTGGTGATGATAATTCTTGGATTGCAGACTGGATTACGTCTGGATTACATCACCTCTGCTGTAATTATTTACACTCTGGAAGCAGTTTGGATTAAAACGTGTTTGATATGTGCAGATTAGGTGTGAACTAATCCCGCTGTGTAATCTGTGTGGTTCCTGTTGGATTCTGTGCTACAAATCTGGCTGGAGATCAAACCGCAGTACTTTAGTATCAAAAATGACTGCAGTGGCTGGATAGGTGCGTAATAATTTACCTTTGAAATCTCTTCTGATAAAGGATGGCAATGTTACATTTTAGTTATTATCTATAAATCCCATGAAAAATCTCAATAGTGAGTTACTGGCTCTCAGCTGCAAACCCACTGGTTCCTACTGAAGATGTGAAGCTTTAAAAACACAAAGATATAGTTTCATTTTTGATTTGTTAAAACAGCTGCTACTATTTTTGAACAGCAGGAAATAGTGCATTTTTGAGGGACTATTTTAAGCGGCGGATGTTTACATTTTTTCAATGTAAGGTGTTATGTTGGTATAATAACTAAACTCAAGAAGAAGACGTCTATTGGCTTTGAAACCAACTGACCCCGTGACCCTTGCACCGACACAAAAGCCCCGGTGAACATTTCTGCTCCTTAACGGGAAGAAACATTTAGATGTTTTCTGACCTCATGACTTTTCCCGTCTCCACCATTTAACCATCCCGTCAGCTCAGGAGGCAGATCACTACACCGTGGAACTGATCTCCACTCACTGGTGATCGACACACAATCCCAATAAATGAGATGTAGTACAATAAAAAGTACAATATGTACCTCTGAGACGTAGTAGAGTAAAATGTACAATATGTACCTCTGAGATGTAGTAGAGTAAAAGTACAATATGTACCTCTGAGACGTAGTAGAGTAAAATGTACAATATGTACCTCTGAGATGTAGTAGAGTAAAATGTACAATATGTACCTCTGAGATGTAGTAGAGTAAAATGTACAATATGTACCTCTGAGATGTAGTAGAGTAAAAGTACTATATCTACTTCAAATACAATAATATTATATATATTACATTTTAAAAAGCTCTTCACCGAGATTTGTTTTGTTTACTTTATTTCTGTTTGTTGTTGTTGTTGTTTCGTTTTTTCTACATGCTTTGTGAATGAGAGAGTTCGTGATCTCTCTTACGGGCAAAATGTTTGACACACAAATAAAATACATGAAAGAATGAATATATGTCATTTTGACGTGAGTCCTTTTGGTTCATTCAGTATATTATGAGGATAATACTTTTGTACTTTTACTGAAGTCAAATTTAGAATGCAGAAAACTTTACTTTACTTATTTCAGAGTATTGTTGTATTACTTTTACTTCAGTAAAAGTTCAGAGTGCTTCTCCCGACTTAGAAAAGTAATGTTTTGATAATCTAATAATCTTTAATTGTTAATAATAATGTTTTGAAACGTGTGAAGATGTTTTTCTTTATTTGTCACATTTGATCATAAACTAAATATATTTTAGTTTTGGACTTTTGATTCATCACAAGGGCTTTTTTATTCATTATTTTAGAACTTTTTATGGAAGAAATGTGTTCCATAAGAAATATGTTTTTGATAAATATAATATGTCATTCAGTGATAGCTGCATCTTCCCGTCGTGTCCTTAGTATTTTCTCGTCTGTCTTATATTTCTGTGTCTCCATGTGTCCACTGTTACAACGTGATAATGTGGCGTCTGCACTTCTGCCCCGTCCACAGATTAACTACGCTTTTGTCGGGGAGCACAAAAAAAAGGAAAAAAAAGTGGCTCCTCCCCCGCTGCTGAGCCGGGGCTTTTAGCGTGGCCCCCTGCCAGGGGAGGCTTTAAAAGGGTGGGGGCGCATGGCTCCTCTCACTCTCACAGCAGGACAACCCAAGGGACACCAAAGCGAGGTGAGTCCCCTCACCGTCCCTCAGCCACACACACACACACACACAAACACACACACACACAAATCCCCCCCAAAAACACAGGGGCCCAAAGGCCGGTGGAGGCTCTCTGCAGCAGCAGCAGCACCAGCAGCAGCAGCGGGGGGACATGATAAAAAAAGATGAAGAACTTAATATAGATTTTATTCATTCTTGCTGAAGCTTTTCTAAAAACTTTTATAGGTCATTGAACGTGTCGTCTGCATAGAAACACATTAAGTTTCTCTCCTGTCGTGCTGTTTTAATTTAAAATGTCTAAACTTTTAGCTGTCAGAGTCTCATCCGTCTGTACTTTTTGTTCTTCTTTCCAGACAAGATGACTCACCATTGCACCAAGTTCTCCGGCCACTGGAAGGTGAGTCTGCATTTATGGAAAAACACAAGTTTCATATTTTAACCTCTCTGGAGGGAAATTACTTACTATTTACTAGTTTAAGTCATTTTTAAGAGTTTGTTTGAGATGTTTTATCTTGTCTTGAATCTCTAAATTGAATTATCTGGTAAAATAAAGCTAAATAAAATAAATAAGACTACTTAAATCTGTAAAACTACCTTTTTTAGTGTCTATATGTAGTTATTGTTAATGTGCATCAACTGCTTTATTTCTTCTAACACACATCTGCATTTCTTTCCTCCTCCAGATCATTGTCTTCGACGAGGAGTGCTTCCAGGGCCGTCGCCATGAGTTCACCTCCGAGTGCTGCAACGTGATGGAGTTTGGCTTTGAGACCGTGCGCTCCCTGAGGGTGGAGAGCGGAGCGTGAGTGAACTGCTCCAGCACATTCTAAGAATGTCCTGCAGATAAGAGGAGTTTTTAAAAGAGATTTGTGGTGTTTTTGTGTGACAGCTGGGTGGGTTACGAGCACGCCTCCTACCAGGGGCAGCAGTTCGTCCTGGAGAGAGGAGAGTACCCCCAGTGTGACGCCTTCGGAGGCAGCAACGCCTACCACATCGAGAGGATGACCTCCTTCAGACCCATCGCCTGTGCTGTAAGTCTGGTGTAGTTTTTAGCTTCAGGAACACTGTGTTTGCAGATTTGATGGATGAATAAAAAACCCTCTGGTTCCTAAGCACATTTAATTTAACTAAATATAATTTTATATTATATATCTTTTATATTATATATTATTATTTTCTTTTAGGACTAAAAAAACAACTCCTGAGTTTGTTCCATGTGTGTTTTTTCCCTGCAGAACCACAGAGAGTGTCGTATGACCATCTTCGAGCGTGAGAACTTCCTGGGCCGTAAGGGTGAGCTCAGCGACGACTATCCCTCCCTCCAGGCCATGGGCTGGTGCAACAATGAAGTGGGCTCTCTAAAGATCCAGTCTGGAGCGTAAGTGTAATTTTATTTGATGGTATTTTATTGCTTTATCTGGTCAGGGACTGTCCACATTAACAAAAACATTCCTGGAAACATATCTTTCATCTGTAGTCCCTGAACAGATGTTATAAAAAACCTAAAAGCTGAATATTTACCTTTTACAAAGCATGCAGAAGCAATGAAAGAAGATATAATATGAATATATGTATAAGATCATTCAGGACACTTTTATATTGTCAAGTACTCACACAAAAACACACATTTTATACATTTCCTTCACCTTTCTCCCACCAGCATGTTGAAAGAAATAAATAATCCTGCTTTCACAACAACAATCTGTTGCAACATGTCATCCTAACTTCCTCCTCCTCCTCCTCTTCCTCCCCACAGATTCGTGTGCTACCAGTACCCTGGCTATCGTGGATACCAGTATATCATGGAGTGTGATCGTCACTGTGGGGAGTTCAAACACTTCAGGGAGTTTGGCTCCCACTGCCAGACCCCTCAGATCCAATCCATCCGCCGTATTCAGCAGTAACGACCCCCCCCCCTCAAATAAACCCCTCCCCTCTCTCCCATGTGACCCTTCACCTCTGACCCCTGCTGCTGAATAAACTGTCTTTCTTAAACCCTACTGACGTCCACCACGTTGTCCTGATTTACTACTTCTACTCAACAGGTGCACTAGAAAACATTTAAAATGTAATCGTTTATAATATTACTGAGCAGTAAAATAATTTCAAGTAACACAAAAATAACTAAAATAATTATTCAAATCATTTTAATTATCAAGAAAAAAGGGCAACAATCTGGTTGTCAAATGAGAAGATCTGTTTTATTTCTCTCTTTTATATTATTGTAAATTGAATTGTTTTGGGTTCTGTTGGTTGAACAAAACAAGACATTTGAAGACGTCACTTATATTTGACATGTTTTTCAGGTGGTTTAAAACAAGCTTCTTATAGATTACACAGGTAACACAACAAATAAATGATAAAAACAATAAAAGCAAACTGACAAATACATTTGATTTAAAACAAATCTTGGATTTGATTTTTTGGCAATTTGTTCCAAATTAATAAATGAATCTAAAATAAATGCATAAATAGATTAAATCAAATAAACATTTGTTGCAGCTGCAGTTAAAGAACATATCATTTATTTAATTGAACACATTTACAAGTTTATAATATCTATTTTCTGTTATTTGCAAAACAAACAACAACAAAACACAGTTTGTATCTTTTAGGTCAAAGGTTACCAAACTATTTCACTTGTGACTCCTAAAAGCAAAGACAAGACTTCATCAGTGTTGCTTGTTTCTGCAGGATCAGGGTGTAAAGCACCTGTCTGTGATAAAGAATGCTCCTGATCCACACGTGTCTCACGGTGTGAAGGCCTGTGTTAGACTACAGGCCTGATCTTCACATGAGCAGTTCCTCTACCCACCAGGAAACGGCACTATGTTTCCACACAAACAGCTCTCATGAGGAAATGAATACACTGAGATGTGACATTAATTATCAGGGGATTCATGCACATTCAGATTAAATATGGAAAAAAAACAACGTATTTCACACTGACATAAAGAAGAGACCATGTGACGCAGTGAGGATTTCATAAAAACAAACAGTAAATATGTGTTGTGAAATGTCCTGTCACCGTAAAGGTCATAAATCATCACAAAGTGCTCCAAATGTGTAGGAAAGGGGAACTCCCTAGCTGTGAAACTGTGGTTATAAATAGATATACATGTATTCTTTCATTTCCGATTCAAAGAGATTTTTAACGTGTATAAAAATAGAAATGAAAAAGCCATTCTCTCTCTCTCTCTCAATGCCTGAAAGTCCGGCTCCAGCCAACAATTAATCCGCTCCGGGTTTTACGAGCCTCTCCCCCGCCGCAGTGGGAGGAAGTTGGACCCACAAAGCAAGCAGTAGCAATAAATAAATAAATAAATAAATATATATATATATATACAGAAAAATACACCAAACTAGAGGGACTTTTAATTAAAACATGTCCCATATTGGAGCTGGAAAACGGACAGCTTAACCGGAAAACAGGAGCGGACGCTTGTATCGGTTGGGAAGAGACGCTCCAGGGTTGGCCGCGGACGGACAGCTTCTTAGCCGGAGTTTGAGCTCTCCAGAGCGGATAGCCCGAGCAGCTCGGTTCTTTTTTCGCGATATCGACCTCCGTGTCGTGTCGGGGGTGTTGTTTTTTTACACGCCAACGCGATGGTTTAAAATGTGTTGTCGTGTTATTTAAATACTAGTTTAACGTATTTGAAACGTATTTTAAAAATAATATATGTATATATTTTAAATATTTAAATTAATTAATTAAATATTTGACGTATTTTTCCTTTTTTAAATATGAAAGAGGAAAAAGTTTTAACAAGCTAAACTGCCGCCGGAGCCCGATTTCCATCTCCCCTCCTCCTCCTCCTCCTCCTCCACCACCATCAGCGTCACCATCAGCCCCACAGTCAGTCGCTCTCTGCTGGGTCTCCAGACTAAGAGGGACCACCCCCCTACCACTCAACGAGCAAACTATGGATTATCTTGTGCGATTTACTCTTTGATTTTTACGCTTTTTTTTTCTTCCCGGGGGTCTCTCAGAAAAACGCTGCAAGACTTCCCCTTAAATAACGAGCTGACTCGCAGCCGTTAGCTTATTAAACTAAATCCTAAATCGAGCCAGAGTAGCCGTCAAGTCCGCCAGCTAGTGGAGCCTGTTAGCTGCTGGCAACCGGGGCTTTTTAACGAATACATCGGCTGCAGTGCAACAATCCAAACTAGATGTATATACTGATTAATCACGCTTATATTCGGTAGTTAGCCTAACTGGCTAGCAGTTTTTTTTTTAGCTAGCTAGCTTGGTGGCTAACTAGCAAAGACGAACCCAAAAATATCGAGCAGGCTAAAACAAGTTAGCTCCAGTGGTTTTTAGCTCGTGATTAATCGATTACACCCGCTAGCTTTAGCTAAGCCTCTTAAGGTGATTAATGACATCTTTTCGGGGTGTTTTCGTTTTAATGGATTTAATGGACGTTACACAGGAAGCAGCGACGGAAACATAAACAACAGGAGAATTTATTTTGTATTTTTATGGATTCCTGTCTCATCTTTAACCTTTGCTGGTTTTATTTCTGCCAAAAACCCGAACGAGAGATTAACATTATAATATTTTAATTAGACGTTAAGGAAGACGAAGAAGTAGCACCTCGATGATCAACCTGTCAACCTTTTATTCGAGAGACGAAGAAGAACCACACGTGTCCCTGGGTTATTAGAGGTTTAATGGTTTCTCTTCTTCATCAGGAGCCAGTCAGCCTCTCTAGCTGCTCCATTTAAAGAAAACAATAGATCATTTCCCTCTCAGCGCTTCTCACAGTGTTTACATGTTAAAGTGGGTGGTGGTGAAAAAACAAAAAGACCTGCACATGCTGCAAACCAGTCTTTGGGGACATATTTCCGTCAAGAGGGACCAGGAGACCTGTAGGATTGTGACAGCTGTCTCCTGGTGCATCTATCTATCTCTGTGAGACATCTCACTATAAAGACCTCATCTTATCTTTGCTTTATTTTTGATCTCCCTCAAGCAAACCTGCATTTTTTTTTAACCAAAAAAGATGGGATTACAAGCACGGTGATCTTGTGTTTATTTGATGCCTCCTCTCTTTATTGTGCGTCTGTCACAATGATGGTAGTTTGAGAGACTACAGCCGGAGACAACGACACCTTTTCCCGTCGATGGTCCGCTCAAGCTCGGTGCTTGATGTTGCTCACAATCTGGAGGACATTGTTTTATTTCTAATTCCCT